ACCATTGCCCTCTGAAGTGCAGCAGGGCTGAGCTCAGCAGGCTGAGGGCAGCACTGACCTGTAGTGAGGAGCGGGCAGCTGCTGGATGACGTCCCGCATTCTGACCAGCCGCTCCTCCTCTGTAGTGGCACCAACAGCATCCTGGAAAAGGGCAGAAAGGGATTGAGACACAAATCAGGCGAGATACCTGCCGCAGGGTCGGGAACCATGGGCACAGCGCGCTGCTGGTCAGCACTGAGAAAGATTTTAGGCCTCCCCAGAGGCATCTGGCAAACATAGCGGCACGCAGCTGGTGCCACCAAGGCCAAGGAGTCCAAGCACCGGGCCGGTTTACAGCCTGGTTGGGCAGCTCAGCTCCTCGCAGGGGGCATTCATCTCCAAGTACGCTTGGCTATTAATCCCCTTCCTGTTCCAGAAATAGCTGGGGAATAGCAACAAACAAACAAACAAACAAACAAGACAGGAATTCTCGCAAGCACTGTGAATATGGAAATAACCACCTCCTGGGGCCACCAGAAGCGGCATCAGCACGATGCAGGATGTGGCAAAGACATGCGAGTAAACCCCATGGGGCTAACAGAAGAAGGGCCTCAGAGCCGGGGCACTGCTGCAGCCATCTCCCAAGAGGCCCAGCGAAGAGGGAAAGGAAAGGCGTTGCCTCGTGCTTACCGAGAACTTGTCGTACAGCTGGTCGGTCAGCAGGGGGGTCGGGAGCTCCCTGAAGTACATTTTGCAGAGGGAGCTCGCGCTGTGAACGTCGCGGACGGTTAGCTCAGGAACCTGCTCACACTCAAATTCCTGGCTGCAGAGAAGGACACGAAAGCGGTTGAGAAAGAGGAAAGCAAGTCAAAAGCCACACCCAATGCAATCAAGAGTGGGAAGGGCTTCCTGATGTACAGGAGAACACAAACACTCGGCCACCAGCACCACGTCAGCCGTGCTGGATGGGATGTTCCCAAAGGAGACCTTTTCTCTGTGCTAAGGCATTGCCCGCAGGCCTCTGAACGCCCGCAACAGGGCACGTGCCCCTGCTGGCAGCTGTGTCTGTCAGTCGCAGCACTCTTACCGCAGTCTCTGGACGTTGGACGCCACGCCGGACAGGCGGTATATCCCCTGCACCACGCCATGCTGCTCGATGAACTCGGCGCAGCTCTGGAGGACCTGGGGGACTAAAGAACACGTGCCGGCGGTTACTGGAGCTCCTTAGTCAAGTCCTGCCTCAGGCTGCGCTCCCGTCACATCCCATCCACTAAGCCCAGCCGGGCTTGGCTGAAGCAAATACAAACGTGCTTGTCTCTTGGGAGCATTAGCCTCACTTCATCTTTCAGCCATCAACTCCCATTCCCCGTTTCTCCACTGGTATCAACCTGCCCCTTGCTACATACCATCTCCCTTTCATCTCTAGGTTCTCAAACAGGGAAGCTCTCAGGAATGGGCTGTCCCTTACCATCACGACCAGAGTGCAGAAGATGCTCTCCCAGGTCACGGCCGAACACCCTCTCCTTCTCCACCTCCCGCTCTTTCCGTTGCTTTGGGCGGGCCTTCACCACGGAACGAAGGAAGGTGAGGAGCTTGCCGCGCTTCTTTGGCACTGCACAACAAAAGGAAGAAACCAGTTCATCTCAGGTTTGGCTCCGTTGGACGAGGCCGAGCACAACACATTCTACAGAGCACCTCAAAACGGGAAGAACATGATGAGCAAGTGCGTACCAAAATGGATTTTCCCCAACCCTGGATGAGTCCAAGGCCAGACTGGATGGGGCCCTGCGCAGCCTGGTCCAGTCCCACTTTAAACGTGGAGCTTGGTTGGCAGCCCAGCTTGAGGCAAGGGGGCTTGGAGCTTGATGATCCTCGAGCTCCCTTCCACGCCAAGCCATTCTACAAGGATTCTAGGATTTCCCCAACTCCAGTCATAAAACACAGCAGGACTGGGCCAAATCTCTGCACGTTCTGATGGAGTTGAATGCACTCCTCTTGCTTAGCTTGCTCAACCTGGGCATTAAGGACCCTCTTGAAAAGCCACGTTCTGATCAAGCGTGTCACTAGCACAACCAGACCTCTATCTGTCCACCAGGGACGCTGGCTGTTCTCAGCCTCGTACGGACTTGCCGGAGAACTGCCTTGGCCTTCCCTCATTCTCACTGCCTACAAAACACCAGCCATACGCCCCGTGCTATGCAGGAAGGATTATCAGCACAGAGGATAAGGGGGGAAGGATAAGGGAGGTATTAAACACGGAACACACCCAAAAAAGACTCCATTTTGCTTCCCTGCACCATCAAATGTCTCATCGTACCTGGCTTTGGCACTGAATTGATGAGAGACTCCGGGATTTTTCCGTTAATGAGCTCCACACACTCACCAGGGAAAAATCCAACCTGTAACAAGAGGAAGAAGAGACGTGCAATACTGAAGGCAGCGTTTCTCAGGCCTGAACTGTTCAAACATCACCTTTTCCTCATCACGTGCCTGCCGGATGCTCCGTAAGACAATCCAACCAAAAAATGGCCTGCTTAAAATTAATAATTATTCCAAATTGGCAGGCAAATATCCATAAAACTGTGTATGGAGCGGGGAAAGGACAAGTATGCTATGCACCCCTAAATCTCAAGCGTGCCCGAAGGGAAAGACTTCATACAGAAGCTACAAATTATGATAGATTGATGCAGCTAGATCTGAGTTGGCACAGCCTATGAACTTTCTGCTTGCTGACTGAGATGCAGCTGCCATCCCCAGCTCTGAGCTACCCAGCGTTCTGCAGCCAGCAGCAGCAGCAGCAAGCACGCAGAGGCTCTGTTACCCTGCCTCATCTCAGCTGACAGGCAGCGACTTCCTAAAAGACGCTGACTTCACCTTCTGCATGGGTGCAAGCACAAGTGCTCAGAGACACTGAAACACGTGTCCTAGCTGCTGCATTTCCAATGGTGCGGTTCAGTGGCCGTGACCTGATGCACGCTGTGAGGGCTCTTCTTTCTAAGTTAACTGAGGAGGCAGTTTCCTACAAAGACCAACTTTCAGCTCTGGCCTAAGCCCACAGCAAAAGGGAAAGTCCTCTGACACCAGCACAAGGAAACCATTTTCCATGTGGAGCCATGCTGTGCAGGCAGGGCAGCTCTAAGCTGAGATTCCTGCCTCGACCGAAGTTGCGCTCTCACGTCTGAAGCTTGGGCCTACCTGAAAGCCGTGCTTGCCTCTCCAGCGGGGGCTCAGCTCCTGAGGCGGCATCTCGATGACGCACACGAGGTCTCCCACCTGCAAGAGATTGCAACGTCAATCCCAGCTTCGGCACGGCTGGGAGGAAAGCGCAGCTCAAATGACTGCATTCTTCTGCACTGCCCAATATCGTCAAGCTTGAGAGCCATTGCACCAGTGCAGCTCTTCAGGCATTTGCAGTCGTACAACTGAACGTGCAAGTAGAAGAGTCACTCCAATACACAACATACAGAATTCAGCTGTTCAGTATGAAATGGTTCTCAGAAGCAGCAGGCTCTTTGCCAAAGGGAGAGCTCCAATTAAACCGCAGGCATAAGTCAGCCAAACAGATCCTGAACAGATCTGCACACTCCATACACTGCTCTGCCATTGCTCAGAGACCAGGCTACCACACCGGGCAGTAGCTCTTGGATCACAAGATTCCAATGCCAAATAGAGCCATAGTTCAGAGATGGCTGAACTCCTCCCTGCATCCAACCCAGTGCAAGTCTAATCTGGAGCCGCACCTTCTGAGCTTCACCTCACCAAACATTCGGAAGGTGTCTGAGAATATTCCTGAGAGCTTCACACGTTATACTCTTCTGTACAGGACAACAAGGAACGCCCTTAACTGCTTACCTCCAAGGAGAGTTCACCCGGTGCCTGGGCAACGTATCTCTTAATAACGTGGGCAGCAGCAATAGCTGGGATATTAAGAGATGACTCCTCACGGACCAGCAGGGGCTTCCCGTTGTTCTCAGCCTGAAACACAGAGCACAGGCCACGGTGAGGAGCTGAGGGCAAACGAGGAGGATTTCAGGCTGAGGAGCATGTCAGCAGAGAAAGCTGCAGGAAGTGCACTCCGTCCTTATCATGGGCACACAAGAAGGAACGGCAAGGCTAAGAACATGCCCGCAGCAAGGAAAGAAAGCCTTGAAGGCAGCTTTTCAGTGACACCGATAGAGCCGCAAGGATTCGCTCTCTTGAAAAGCAGGAGAGCACATCTGCAGCTCACTCTGCTGGCTCAAGTCGGGGAACAAAGACCAATCAGAGCTCCACACTCTACCTCCATCCGTGTCATGCCAGGCTCACAGCTGATCTCGCTGCACGCGATGCCCATCACAGCAGGCACGACAAGCTGGAATGAAAAGAAACACGCTCATATTTTCTCTCTTCACACACCACACTATTGAGAGACTTCTTCAGAACTACCCTTGGCTATCCTCTGGCACAGGCGGGTGCTCTAGAAGCAACCACTCTGTTCACTCCGTTCAAATGGGACAGCCCATTAGGCAGCATTTGACCAAGCGGCTGTCCCTCTGCTAGCAGATGGGCACTGGCACAAAGCAGCAGATGCATTCGCCCAGGGCGCTCTGACAGCGCAGCAGCAGGGCAGTGAGAGGAATCATTGCTGCAGGTGCATCTGCTCCCCGGCCCCGGCTCCCAGCAGCCTCACCACCGGCACCTGCTGCAGCCCCGCACATCAAGGATTTCCTCTGCTCGCATCTCTGCTGTGCTCCCTACAGCTGCCGCGCACACTCTCACAGGCCAAGCGTGCGTGCTTGTGACCTTGGGTCACGCTGTGCAGCTCAGCACAAACTGGGCCTAGGACTCTTTGCCTAAGGGATTGCTTTCCTTCAGACCAGCTGGTCACAGCACCACACACAGCATCCTCCTGAGGGCGGAGCTGCAGGGGAAGGGAAAAAACCCACACGGGACCAGTGTCCCATCAACGCTGGGTGAGGCTGTGTTACCAAACATGGTGCGACACACTGCTGGTCAACCACGTGGGGGGACAAAGCGTGGCACGTACCTGGCAGGAGATCAGAACAAGGTAGACAATTCCTTGAACTCGCAGCTGTTTCTTGTCACTTTGCTCTGTGCTTCCACGAGCGAAAGCTGCACCAAGGGAGCGGATAGAGGAGAGAGAAGGAACAGGTCTGTGAGCTTGCACAATGCAGCAAAGATGACAAGGGAAAAGCCACGGGACAAATGCCATCTTTGTGGATCGCTTGGGAATGCAGGTACTGGCTGAAAGTTACGTCTGATGGACAAGAGTAAGCAGTACGAGCTGCTAGGAGCTCCACCAGCCAGCAGTTTCCAACAGCTCACTGCCCACCCGTCCATCCCACGCTGTCTCAGCTTACCTACAAGATGCTGCACAAGACACAAGGGTTGAAACCGAAGGCACTCAGTCGCTGCACAAGGGCAACAAGCGAGCTACTCACGCAGAGCTCAAGCGCTCCAATGAAGGGACGCAGCACGCACTGCTCCTCCCCTCATTCCAGCCTCTTGTGACATCACTAAGGGCCACCAGGCTGCTCCGCCATGACGACAGGGTGGGGAGGCAAGACCATGTCACAGGACCAGAAGATGCCAACACCGCACCCAACATTCTAGAATCAGTGGGCCCTTGGAATTCTACCTCAGCCCAATCCTGCACAAGCTGCCATGCGGTTGTCATGACCACAGCGCAGGACCCAGCGCTTGCTCCTGTGCAGCCTCGTACGGCTGGCCTCAGGCCGTCCCTCTGCAGGGCCTTCCTGCCCTCGGGCAGATGGACATTGCTTCCCAACAGCGTACCTCGCAGCGCAGGGCCTATGTACAATCCACACTGCAGTCCTATCGATCTGTGTCAAGCTATCTATACCCAGACACACAGTCACCACTACCATCTTCTTTCTGAGTCTTGAGGTACACCATTCAGCGGTTTCATTGCCATCAAACAACCCCACTGACGGCACACTGCTGACACAACGTCCTTGCTAACACAGCAGCAACTCCTGGCACCGACAGCTCCGGGTACAACAAGCACAGGGCTCTGCGTTGCTTTGGATGCAGTTGCAGCATGGATCTGAGGGCTTTGTGGAAGGGGATATATTGCAAATTGCACCGACGTTTTCAGACCATTTCTCTTTCGGCATGGTCCCAGCACCTGGCATGCTGATCATCATCCTGAATATACATTTTGTCAAAGTTCTACAACTAATGAAATAGTTCCTTACCAAACGCAATCTGATCACTCTTCTGGCCATATTTTGTTCCAGCTACCGCTTCCTGCGGGTGGCACCAATAGCGCTGCATCACCTATAGCTCTCTGCTCTTACAGTTCTCATGCTGTCTGGGCAGTCCTCGTGGCCTCAAAACTCTCTCATGCCACACGTGCCACATTCTGAGGCACAGAAGATATATCGCACTACTTCAAAACGCCTTTTTTTTTTTTTTTTTTTAATACAATGATACTAGGGATAATCATCTGGAGCTAGAGCATTATAAAAAAATTCCCTTTAGTTCAACCATAAGTCTGCCCCATGGACTCCAGAAGAGCTCTAAGAATATGCAGCCTGGACATGGATGGCAGCTACCATAACAGTAAGCAATGAAAAATGAGGTGGTGAGCCATGCTGTGTCATTGCATCTGCGGGCAGGGATTCTCCTTGGACTGAGCAGAGTGCAGATGTCGCCTGAGAAAAGAACTTAGGATCATTCAGGAAAAGCAAATGAGTTGAGTAATTAATTGAAGAAACTCACGTTCTAAAGGTACTTAGAAGGAGAGAGTATTTCCCAACAGAATGGGTTTAACTGTCTATTCCCTGTTTTGCTAGACAGGTCTACTCTGTGTATGCTTAGACTGACCTGAGAGGGCATGCTTCAGCACACCCCACAATTTCCAGTTTCCACATCGTCCAGGCAGCGCAAGTGCGGTGTACGTCTCCCTAGGCACAGACATCAAGCTTTTCTTCCTGTGCAATCAACTAATTATGACGGGGGAAGGGGACAGTACAGGCCTCACAAGAGAAGAGCCTGGCGGAACGATTTTAGAGCTGGGAGTCAGGCAAATGACTCGGCTCAAGTGCACCTATACCAATGCACGCAGCATGAGCAACAAGCAGGAGGAACTGGAAGCCATTGTGCACCAGGCTAACTACGATCTAGCTGCTGTTACTGAAACATGGTGGGACTGCTCCCATGACTGGAGCGTTGAGATTGATGGCTATAAGCTCTGCAGAAGGGATAGACAAGGAAGGAAGCCAGAATATTCATCAATACTGAATTGATCCTGCAATTCAGGAACCTCACAAGCAACCTGAAATAAGCGTCTAAAAAAAAAAAAAAAAAAGAAAAGAAAAAGGAGAAAAAGGTAATCAGCATACCAGTAGCTGTTCTTCTTCAAACCATGGTTCCCAAGCATACTGCAATTGGACAAGCTATAGCTTATCACATCAAAAGCCATCTAGAAGATTCAGTTATTGGTACTGGCCATGTTGGCATTCGCTCACTGTAAGCATCTGCAGGACAAGTCCATGGACCGAATGACCTTGTGCACCCATCCTTCTGTCTCAGCTGCAAGAATAATCCTCACTCCCAGCCATTTCCAGTTTTCTTTCTTACAAAAGATGAAAGATATAAAGAAGCTCTTCATTCAAAAGTTACTTGATTATACAAACAACTAAATTCCAGCCTGCTTTAATCCAAAGTGCCATCTAGTTTGCATACAGAGAACTAGGGTGCATATAGGAAAGAACGCACGCACACTCTAGTTTTCAATGGCCAGAATATCATAATAAACACAAAGAAAAACAGCCTTTACTCTGGAGGCTTGTATGGCAAAGCCAATTGTTTGGACCAGCTCATTAATATACTATATCTAGTTTGTCAATTCCAGCTACGTATTTTATATGTCATTATGATCAATGATTGTGGAAGCCCAAAGGGCAATCTCTCATTTTCAACAGACCTCCTTTTTGACTGAGATGGAATTTATTACATTTAAAATTCATCACTCCTCTTTGTTTGCAACACTGTCCACTGACAAACTCCTCAACACAATCAGCTCAAGTCTTCTACCTGAATTTCTGGGATGACTGTGACAAGTATTCCTTCACGATGCTCAGATGTGCACCGTCTCCCATGAGCATCTTGCTGGACGCAGCATGCTGCAGCATCTTTGCAACAAACCAAGGTTTCTTCGTTGATCTGCAGTCAGCTGCCCTCCAGCTGAAAGATCCATTAGGTCAAATGCATCCGGTGCCACCATGGCCGGATTCACGTAGCCGTGATAGAGTAAGTTGCCAACAATCTAGGACAAGTTGAGGAGAGAAAAAAACACGTGGAAAACCAATGGCACAGACCTCCACTGACTTTTACTGACACTACTCCGAGTGAGTTCTGACCAATTACTTTCCTGTGAGCTGTGGGCCCCGTTCCAGATGCAGGGTCTACTGCGCTGCCATTAATAAGCACATGCCGTCCCAAAGAATCTTAGTTTCACACTGCAACATAGATACATACACTAAATAAATGCACAACGGTGCATTTAATCCAGAAGTAAGAAACTCAGAAGTGCCGAAGATGAGCGGTATTTGACATTTCAAAAGAAGTCCAATTCACCAGCTAAGTGAGCAGCAATGAACGCCGAGGCCCCAAAGATAAAGACAGCCCGTTATCCACGTGCTCATCCATCTACTTCTAACCCGTATTGGACATTTGCCTGCAGTAATTCCCACAACAAAAAGGCATTGGCCCAGCACGCTGACATGCAGCAAAAGTTCCCACGCCACATGCTTCAGTATTTCCTGGAGTTTCACATCAATCTGCGCAGAGCCAAGTCACAGAATCTGGGCTTCTCCTGCTTCACGTGCGATTTGAATGCACAGAAGAGATCAGAGGTGTGAAGAAATGGCAAAAACAGAAAGAAGAAGCTTCGCCATTGCTAAGCTGCCCCAGAAATTAACTGCTTTCAGAGAGGTCATGGTTTTGACAGCGGTTTCAGCTCTTGCTCTACTATCCCAGGTGACGGCACATGGTCACAACAGACAAAACTGTTCACTACCAGTCATAAGAAACACATTTGTGAGAGAAATCATACTGATAATAGTAAAACATGTAGTAGGAAGACAAGAACAGTACACTGTAGGAGTAGTTTTAGGCCCTAATGCATCTACAGGCAGTCACCGCACGCAGCTGCAGTTCAGAGTGCGGCATGGGCCGTGACATTGTTTCCACAAGGATTAATAAAAACTGCAGCTTTCCACCTACATTTACAGATGGAAAAAATGAATTCACCTGCACAGAAAGAATCGATGCCTCAGAACGGGAAAGCACGGAACCAGAAGAGAGAAGAAAACGGCATTCAGATTGGGAATTACTTCGTAATGAAGCAGAGACAGAAAAGCTTAAAGAGACTGTGGCAAGTAATGTCAAAGCCACTCTTTGTTTTATTAAGAAGAAGAGCACTCACAGACAGAAAGACCTTCAAAATAACAAACGCCAGGACAATCCCAATGAAAGCCACAATGCTGTGCTCATTTGGAAGCATTTACTACTAACATCCTTTTCGTTCTCCAAAGTACGGAAATGTACAACACAAAACTGCCCACACCTCATGAAAAATGACACCATATACTTTGTTGCAGCTACTGTAATGCCCTAGAATATTGTAAGGGAAGTGAGAAGAGTAGAATTCTGCACACGGGCCTTTTCAACTTGGCACACTGTCTCTTTAAAAAAAGAGCAACTGACTCAGATAACACCAGCAAAACCAAGGTGCACCATTCAGCAGCAAGAGCATCCCAAAGCCAAGAAACCTAGGGGGCACAATGCCCAAGATATTAAAAGCAAAAGGAAAAGCAATAGGGTGACTTCTTCTGAACGCTGTATTATGTTCTCCTTTGACAAACATGTATCCAGCAATCCAAAGCACAGGGCAAAGTACTTTATACCCATAACAACAAATAGCCTGTCTACTTAAACTGCAGCTTTGAAACTTCTCTGCACACGTACAGCCAACAAACAACACTGAGATGCATCTGCTGCAGTCAGCGTGGCAGACAATGATTCACAGAGCTGCTCAGCTCCTTACCTTCAGAAGCTCATCCTCGCCAGCATCAGGAAACTTGTCATGCCGGGAGTCTTTCAGTACCTTGGCGATGAAACGCATCCCGTAACTTCGAAGGAAATAAAAGGCAAGTGAGAATTCCTCACGGATGAACCCACTATTAACTGCTGCAGGATAACGCGGTGACACACCAGACTTACGGGATTTGGTCAGCTGAACAACGATGGCAGACAGGAACTTGTCTGTCACTGCCTTCACATCTCGGGTTGAGGCATCCAGGTGCATCCTCACCTCACCGTGATTAAGAGCTTGTTCAGGTGTAACATCGTACGGCAACTTGCTATTTGGAAAAGTCAGATGTGAAGGTGAGCACTCCTCAGCCTAATATACTTTTGTCAGTGCCAGGCAGAATTGTTGGCTTGACACACAAACAGATCCACGCTCACCTGGCTGCAAAGAGCTGCACGCTTTCACTTTCATTAGAATGCTAGCACTGAAAGAGCAAAGGACTTCTCACGTCCTCTGCTGTCCCTGCAGCAGTCGCTGTGAGAACAGGCCCAGCTAACTCTGAACTGTATCTTTCTGTACCACATGCAGACACGCTCTCTAGAGTCAAGAAGGTCACCTGCGATACGCAGTAGTACCTCAGGTCGCAAATAAATCAGTGAAAACACAAGCTGCACATTGCAGTGTTAAGATAGTAACTCACGCAGCGTGCTGCGCTGGGACAGTTGTCTTTTACTTCATAGCATTGCTTTTCCACCACTTCCCTTGAAGTGCCTTAAAAACAAAACAAATACAACCAACAACAGAATCCTCAAAATCTGGTCAACATCAAGCACTGGAAGAAACACAGAACTCTGACTGGGGACGGATGGGAGCCCATCAAGACTTTATAGACACAGATTAAAGGGAGGACAGGGACAGATGACGTAGCGGGGGATCTACAGGCCAACCAACCAGGATGACCACGTGGATGAAACCTTCTCATGGGCAGACAGGAACAGCTGCATGCTGTGATTCTATGAACACGGCCTGTGTTGAGAAGGAGCACAATGCTCATCTCGTTCCAACCCCCCGCTGCGTGCAGGTTCACCAACCAGCAGCCCAGGCTGCCCAGAGCCACATCCAGCCAGGCCTTGAATGCCTCCAGGGATGGGGCATCCACAGCCTCCTTGGGCAGCCTGCCCGAGTTGTGGGCAGAGATTGGCTTGGTAGAGTAAGAGCTACGGTATCTGTACCTATGAGTTAACACAGAAGAAATGCTTTGGGGCTTTTTTTGGCCTATCTCTTCATGAGATTCACTTCTCATAGTCTCAACACCCCTGTCACAAGATGATCTACTGCGTCCAGTTCTGGGCTCCCCAGTACAAATAAGACAGGGATCTCTTGGAAAGAGTCCAGCGGAGGGCCACGAAGATGGTGAAGGGCCTGGAGCATCTCTGCTATGAGGAAAGGCTGAGTGAACTGGGTCTGTTCAGCCTTGAGAAAAGAAGACTGAGAGGGGACCTGATCCAGGTCTATAAATATCTAAGGTGTGGGGGGCAGAATGGTGAGGCCAGACTGTTTTCAGTGGTGAGTGGAGACAGGACAAGGGGAAACGGCTGGAAACTGCAGCATAGGAAGTTCCGCACAAACATGCGCAAGAACTTCTTTACAGTGAGGGTGACGGAGCACTGGAACAGGCTGCCCAGGGAGGTGGTGGAGTCTCCTTCTCTGCAGATGTTCAAGACCTGCCTGGATGCCTACCTGTGCGACCTGGTGTAGGGAACCTGCTTTGGCAGGGGGGTTGGACTCGATGATCTCTGGAGGTCCCTTAAAACCCCTACAATTCTGTGATTCTGTGATCTTTATACCTGTCAGAAGAAAGCCATCTCGAGCTGATGGAAAAAAGCTGGTAGCAATTGGACAGATGCATGCAATGAATACAGGGATGGTTCGGAACGATTAACAGAGCAATGCAAAGCAGCTGAGCAACTTTCAGAAAAAAAACAGTAGCAACAGCTTCCATACCCGGCCTCACCATTCTGAGATCCCATCTGGTTCACCCAGCACTTGTAAATATCCACTGGATCCGTTCTGACGTTGAGCGATTCGTCCTCAATTATTTCCTTCACAACTGGGGCCAAGATCTGCCTCAGTGCGTTCTGACCACGGGCACCACGGTTGAAAGAGCGCATCTCAAAAATACAGAGGAAACAAAGGGAGTTCTACACAGGCACAACTATTTCCTCTCAGTATTTCAACAAGTAAGCAATCAGCAACAAGAGCCATTCACAGCATGCCGCTATGGGAAATCCAGCAGCAGAGAATAAAGCATAGACATGCACTTTCCTGAACTACTGCTCCAAGAAAAGATAATAATAATTAAACAAACCTTTTAGGCGTTACCTGTTGGAGGGCACATACCATCCTCACACTTAAAAACATCAAAAAAGGCATGACTGCCTCCAACATTACATGTATTTGCTATTCCTAGCAAGTTGTGAAGCTCCGTATCAGCCAGAAGTCATAAACACCAAACTCCTAAGTGCCAATCAACTCAATTATGCCGACAGACAGCCAGAATCCTTAAGCCTGACAGCCAGGAAAAAACCCAAACCAGACAGCATCTGATTTTCAGCCTCCTCATCAGTTTTGGAAAACAGTGACCTTCGCGTCAGCTTCACTCTGGCCTGTAAAGCCCAAGCTCGCAGTCTGTGCCAAGTCCTTCTTACTAGACAGCAGAGAACTTAGATGGGAATGAATCTTAGGAAAGCACTGCAGTAGATCAAAAACAGTGCCTCCCTGAGCAAGAAAGCACTGGCTAAAGAAAAATGGCTTTAATCCTAAAGAACAAAGGTAATTCCTCCTCCTTCCAGGTTACAGAAAGGACTGACGTGAAACAGCATGAGCAGAAGGCAGGGACAGTTCAGCATTATCAGCTAATGAGCACGGGACATCACACAACAACAGCTGCAATTTTAGCAGCGGCCCAAACTCAGGCAACAGCAAGGCTGTGTCCTATGCTACAACGTACTTGATCTCTTCCTGCAATGCTGTTTGCAACAGCCGCAACAGCAGAGATTCCTCTCTCTGACTGGATGCGTAGTTATGCAGCGTGAAGATGGCTGAATCCATGAACTCTGTGGGGTTGTTTTGAGGCATCTGCAAAAGCAGCTTGGCCAAGTACGTTGGAGTAGTCTAAAACAAGAAGAAAAAGTACTTAGTGCACGTGTATAATCAATGACTATTAAGATGTTGTCATTATGAAATAAACAAGAGAGTTTGACAAAGCAGACTAAGCTAACAAAAGGAGAATAAATAGAAGTCCTTGTGTGCTCGTCAGTAATCCGAACGGATTTGATATGCCTTCCTCTGTTTATAGCCACGCCACTGGGACTGAAAACACACACAAGAAAAAAGGTGACTTTTCAAAGTGAAGAGCAGTAATTTACTATTCGATGCTTCTTTCTGCTGCTCAGTTTCCACTTCCCTTTGGCTGAATAAAATGTAACACAGACATGCTCATCTTACAAGACATGCCGTAAGAGATATGCAGTGCAGCCTTCACTATTTCTTCCACCACCAGCTGTCGTTGTGAGGGACTTAGCAGCACCCCCAACAAGGACAAAACACAGCTAGAGAACAAATGACTAAAACTAAACAACCAAAAGCACCATCCATTGCACAATTCTCAATGCCATCTTCAATTCTCCAAACCCACGGACTAATGGGAAGAGGGAGAGAAGTAATTTATACATAGTGATTCCCAGGGAGAAGATAATGAAGATAATTGTGCATGGCAACTGCTTGACTTGAACAAAACGAGTCAGTAAGCGTGCGTGTGGAGAGCAACTGACAAGTACAAGCTTCAAACAGAATTAGGGGATTTCATACCTGCATGCAAGTGATGGCTGGAACTTGCTTCTTCAAAAACCTCATTCTGGAGTTGAATTCCTGACAGACAAGACAGCCTCGACAACGTGCCTGAAGCTTCACCATCAGGTTCTCTTTGGCCAGCCACAACTGCTCTCGCTCGTATGCTGCCGTGACTCCAGATACAGTGCTCTAGATTAGTGTTATGGTAGGAAGAAGAGCCAGGAAGAGAAAAGGGAGATGCAAAAATGACATGTTACACAGCGGCTTCTGTATTCTGCTCAAGAGAAACTTACAAGTTGCTTTTCGGTGAGCAGCAACACCACCGTCTTGTTCTGGTGATCAAGGTGTGCACATTCTCCACAATAGGACAAAGAGGTGCTGACGTGCAAAGTAGACAACGAACAGGGAAATAAGATACAAAGCTTGCTAACATCACTACTGAGGTGAAACATTACATCTCAAAGTTGCAATAAGGCCTGAAATAGGGGCAACTTCAATTTCAGAGGAAAAGAGCACGTACTTTACCTGCATCTCCTCCCGTGACAGCTGTGTGTCATTCTGCACAAATTCTGTCGGCTCATCCCATCCTCCCTCTCTGGTCCTCACGTTATGATAATGATGACAGCCTCCTCTCACCCAGTGTTTCACCCGTTCACTGCCACTGCCTCCTGAAAGCAGAAATGCTGCTATGTTGAAAGCAAACACCTATCTATCTTCCTCACATACAAATACTACAGGAAGGAAATGCATGGAGAGGGCCCTTCCTCCAAGCAATAGAAGGAACGCCGCAGATTCCAATGAACCACCGCAAGAACTACCTAAGCACAATATATTCTACAAGTGGGGAATATTTCACTGCTACCTTTTTCATTTCCTTCCTACCTTTTTTTTCTTTCCGTTAACAAAGACTTCAGTTTACAAGGCAGCCTCAATTTCCTATAACATGAGATTCTAACAAGATACCCAGAACGCAAGACTGCTCCTCACATTGCTCCCCCTCTGCTTTCCGTTCTACTGGCAATCATCTTGAATTTACTGCACTAGCAGGTAGCTATTGGGGTTCACCTGTGGCCACTTTTCTCCTTTCGACTTCTGCCAACTCTCGCTGGTATGTCTCTGCACACTCTGCAGCGACTCCGTACAGCCCCACATCTGGTGAGCACAAGGCACTCAGGGTAGGGCTGGTATCTCCGTGACCGACTGCTTCATTCACGGCCAGAATGCCTAAGGAAACTTCAACAACAGGAGAGGGCAGGTTACCTGCGCAGTCAGGAGCTCAGTGGCTCACAACAAACTTCAGAGAGCAAGGCACTGTGCCAGTGTACACAAATACCTTCCTGTATTTATGCATAAAAATACTGATTAAAAAAAGACAACTTGGTGTACAACAATCTTTTCAGTACAGTGTGCATCTGTGTATGGCACAGTGTCTGACAGCGCTTTTTTTTGTGCTCTTAGTCCTACCATGGTGCTGATTTATCAACAGTATTTCTCTACAACCTTTTCTCCATTCACTCAGCTGTACTCTGACAACAGCTGTAGTCCAGGCAGCTTCTTCTTGCAGAGCCCTGCTACAGCAGACAACTGACTCAAAAAGCACCTTTCCAGTGACTGCACCGTTCCTAGCAAGAATAGCAACCTGAACACAGAACAGGTTATCAACAAGAACAAGATGAGGAAAGAGCAAACCCAGGGCTACTCCAGAACTCTGTTGCAAACACAGTACAAAATCAACCACAGGTATCTCACCGAAGCAGTAAACACGAGATACAGTCATTTTCAGCACTGAGCAAATGTCTGTTCGCACACACAGAGGTAGAAGGGTATCTGAAGATCTTATTCAGGCTCAAAGAAACAGACTTTAATCCTACTTTTGACCAAATGTTCTTGGGCACAGTCCACCTGCCAACTGCACTGATTTGTGTTGTTACCTGCACTTAGTGCAAAAAAAAAAAAAAAAGAAAGTACTTTGAGAATTACTTCATAGAATTCAGGCAACAGTACAACACAAATGAAAGCTAAGATGCACCACAACTGTGCACATGAACATCCTCTATTGGGTTGACTACCCAACCACAGACAGACACAGTGATCTTGCTAATGTCAAACACTTGGACAGAGATTCAATAGGTATCTCTGCCTAGGATGTAACACAGTCACAAGCACAACTGAAATGACATATCCTTCCAAAAAGATTTAAAGAATTGAAGTTCAAAGGCTGTGACATTCATTCTGGAAAGAAAAAACTTCTACACCTACCTGAAGCAAACACTTGTATTTTAATTTCCTTTGCATGTGTACATTTCTTGCTTGAGCCAAGGCACAGCTGTTTCATCCTGAGTGTCCTAAAGAGAATATGATGAGGAAAGCATTCGCAGCATGAGGAAAAGAGCGTCACTGGTTGTGCAAAACAAAACCACCACCTCTGAGCAATTGCAGTTTCAAGGGATACAGGAAGCACTTCAGTATCTTTCTAATCAATTTCAACACAAGGCCATAATGGACATTTGTTACTAGCAGAAGCAACTACAGCATTACCAGGCCAAAACTCTTCTCAGGACAAGGAACTCCCACCAAGAGTTCCAGCAGTGGTATCACTCCAACAAACATCAAGGCATCCCAACGCCAAGCAATCTGCACTGCTCAGTCCTAAAGCTGTATCTGCCAATAGGACGTGCCTTTCCAAGGAGCCCAAAAAAGAAAATCACGGAACAATTTAAGATGGAAAGGGACCTCTGAGCTCAGCTGGTACAAACCCCTTGCTCCAGCAGGGACACCGAGAGCACATTATCCAGGACAGACCAGATCCAGATGGCTTCTGAACAACTCCAAAGAAAAGACTCCAGTCCCTCTCTGGTCGACCTCCGCTACTGCTCAGTTACCTCCACTGCAAAGTGCTGCCTGACGTTTAGATGGAACCTCTCGAACCCCAGTTTGTACTCAATGCCTCTTGTCCTCAACTGCATCCTCACTTCCAGCTTTCACATACACTGAAGAGATTCCCTCCATGCCCTCTCATCTCTAGACTAAAGAGTCTCCTCCCCCTCAGCTTTCCTCTCTGGAGAGCTGTTCCAGTCCCTCAGGCACCTCAGTGGCCCTACGCTGGCCTATCTCCAGTACACTCATGTCTGCTGTCTGGGGGGGCAGGGCAGAACTGGACACAGTACACGAGCAGCCTCACCAGTGCCAAGTGCAAGGATCACCTCTCTGCTGAAGCCTTCCAGGCAGCACGAGCACACTGCCCACTCACAGCCACCTGGCTGTCTGCCTACCAGCACTCCTAGCACTTTTCCTGAAAAGCTTTGTTCTGCTGAGGTCGACACAAACAGAGACTAACAGGAGTCCTTTCCCAGTACCAGGCTGCAAGGAGTTGTTCAGGGAAACTTCATGAAGTGGAAATGCACATACAGGAGCAGCAACCAAAAACCGAGGGGGAACTAACACAACAGCAGGCTGCTCTTGTCCCGTCCACAAAGCTTTGCAGATTTCTGTACCAGCAAATCAAAAAGCACTGCATGTACTGGGGGTAAATACAAATGTACAACAGTAAAAGCATCTCTCAAGTCTCTCTATTAACAGACCATTTGCTGTGGAGTACTGATCACACCGTATCTTATGTTTTGGCTGAAGAAACTCATTAAATAATGTTACACGCAGAAATTGTCCAAGAGACAAGTGTTTAGCAAACCCCAAAATACACATAATGAACAATAGTCCAGCAGCTGCCAAGCACAGCTCCTCCACCCCCACTGTTGCTTCCTGGGGGTTACTATGGAAGGAGATCTGAAGAAGCAACGGCCATCCCTCCAACAACCCCTGATGTGCAAACAGGACACAGGAAACATTGACTTCTGACACGGATTAATAATCCCCCTGCACAAAGAGCCACTATATTCCAGCATGAAGAGTTCTGTGGCAGGACTGACAATTGACATTTCCTTACATACCCTCCACATTACCACTGCTTTGGATTGAAACCCACATCCCTTTAACAAGTCTTATCGGAATGTCCAAGGAGTCCCATGACTGCTTCAGCAATGTAGAAATTCCTGTTGGGAAGGGTGGCAGACTTAGAAGAACAAACTCTTGCACTGCCATCTCTACCAGCACAGTCATCAATCCCAGGACTGTCAAAGCCGTCTGATCTTTCCCGTGCATTTACTGTCACAGTCCCCCAGCAGGGACACGCGCTGTCACACACTGCAGGGTTAACACTTCTCTCACTGCTCATCACGTGAGAAATCGCATCATACGCCAGATCCCCTGCCTTGTGCTGAACTGCAATCCCTCTCAGTCCCAAGCTACACAAGTCACCAGCTAGTAAGCACGTTGACTCAGGACACAACTGTTCTACCCACAGTGCTGGTCTGTACCACGATCTCACCATCGCTGAAATTGCTGCCACGTTGCAGGGAGGAGCCCCACATTGAACATATGCCTCAATGAGGTAATTTCACATCAACTGAAGTCACCAATCCAGCCTGGCAGAAGCTTACGTGCACACCAACAACAACTCCTTATTTCATTCTCACTCAGTAGGAGGAAATGCTTCAGCACAAAATGGGTTCCTGAGGAACAAGAACCCTTTCAGGGCCTCTGAGGAAGCTGCTCAGTGATCTTCATCACCAGCGCAGTTTTCGGACACTGCCATCGTGAAGGTTTACACTTAGTCAAAAAAAACAAAGCAAACAAACATACTAAAAAACACCCATGTTGAACACAGTATCATCTCAGTCTCTATGCTAAAATCCTTGCTGGAATTAGAACAATGAGCTCCACAACTGAAAAGATAGTACAAAAAGAAATTAAACACGCGTAGGCAACTGAAAGGAAGCACATCTGCTACTTCTGTGTAAGCATAAGGAAATAAAATAGCATCCCACTCATCTGTTAAAAAAAAATAATCAGTAGCATGTACACCACAGAATCACAGGGTTGGAAGGGACCTCAAGGATCACGAATCTCCAACCCCCTGCACGAGGCAGGGCAACCAAACACCACCCATACAGTGTTTCATCTTCCTTCCTAAGCCAGTAAGGTGAGATCATTCTTCCTCTCTCCATTTTCACCTGTACATACAGACCAGTTACACAAAGAGGCAACTCCATCTAAGTCAGGAGAAGTCCTGGGCTACCACAACAGACAACCACCATGCACAAAATGCATAGCATCTGCAGCGTCACCTAGCGAGTGACAGGCATTCATACACATCTTGCTAGAAGCATATATTTTGTTTTCTGTTTTCCCCTCCTTCTGAACAAATTCATCACCTAACAAGTTTTTTTTCCTATTTCTCAAACCTCATTTTTGCTTGATGTAACTACACCTATGGACACATTTAACAAATAGCACTAAAAAATGGAGACTGAACGAGACTTGCATTTGGAAATTCACAGCTATTAGGATAAATACTGCCTTCTTATAAAAACAAATGACACTGAACACATCTCCTCATATCTCCAAAAAGAAGGTACGTCTGCCACTCTGGACGTACAATTAGCTAGAGCAATCCATCTCCAGCAGTTCATATCTTGAAGCCCATCTCTGTAGTTCACCAAGATTCACGTGTTATGCCTGCATCTCTCTTTCCTTCATACAGACAGATCCAAACTGGCCAGGTAACATCAGCTGATAGCATGCAGCGTTCACCCTTTCATTTCCAGATCTGTTTCCCAGCTTTTCTCCCAACGTCAGGAATGCCCTCAGTACACAGATGCAAAGGCTTCTTGAGAGGTACTTTTAACTACACCCACCTGTGCTTTCTCTCTCTTAGCCCGAAGCAGTGTGCCCTGATAATGCTGACCTACCTGTGGGGTTACACCCTCCAGTTTTGCTGCAGGAATCTGTATAAGGCTTGCAGAGCTTTTCTGGTGTCTCCTTCATCCAGTGCCTCGCTGATAAGCCCAACAGCCAAAACTCCTACAGAGAAAGGGATAGAAGAAGAAATACAAGATCCAATCCTTATCCAATCCTTTACCATCATCACAAAACTGTGCTTTGGAAGAAAAGTGCTGTTAGTGCTAAACCAAATACCCGCTGAGAATAGCAACATCTTAATAGCAATCATTTTCTACTAGCAAAGAAAGCAAGACCACTTCTCCACCTTCAAGAAGCCACACACTTTTGGACACAGTAATAAATAAAGGAAAAAGGAGAAAAAAGATCCCTCGGGGAGACCACATGAATGAGTTCTTCAACACGTAGCTCAAATCCACTAGAAGGGAATTATCAAAACCTCAATGGCCAGGGCTAGTAAGTTACAAGCTTGCAAGAATCCTTCAGAATCAAGCTCTTCACACCAAGCTATAGCTTTGCACAGAACGCCATTCAGAAATACACTGCCTTCACTTCTGAAATACCAGCATTTATTGGATGCATGTACTAGGAGCTGTATTACAACAGATAACAGTGGGTGCTGCCAGGGACAGCGAGGACTACAGCTCAACTAACTGAAAACAGACATAAATAGATAGCTTGCAGTTAGCTGAATGTGAACAAAGCCTGAGTCACACATGCCAAACCTACAGCAAATCACAAAGTCATCTGGCTTGGAATGGACACCCAGAGATCGTGTGATGCAACGTATATTGAATATTCAATTATTGCTTGCTGAAAGAAGAACAGTTCAAATCACAGTTGGAGAGTTTACAACAAAGATCTTTCAGAAGAAAGCGAGGAGCTCAGAGTGGATACAACTTTGGTTAAAACACCCAAAGACTGCAGCTTTTTCTTCTGCACGCAGTAGGAGAATCACAGTGTGGAACGTTTTATGGCAGGCACTGCATTTGGACAGAGCAAAGATTAAGGAACAATACACGCTAGGGACA